TGTGTGTGTGTGTGTGTATATATATATATATATATATATATATATATATGCAGGTTTTGGTGTCCTCGGGTGTCTTCCCGTGTAAAAGTTGGGGTGTCTAGGCGACGTTTCGACGAGGTCTCACTCGTCATCTTCAGGCTGAAGCCGAAAGCACCAGCCTGAAGATGACGAGTGAGACCTCGTCGAAACGTCGCCTAGACACCCCAACTTTTACACGGGAAGACACCCGAGGACACCAAAACCTGCATTCCTGTACCCGTGAAAATCTACGAAAGCAAATATATATATATATATATATATGTCTGGGCTTGGGCATCGTTTGCTTCATCTACATTTAGTGTCCGTTGCTTTTGAGTGCGGGAATACATGCAGATATGTATGTGTGTGCACGTGTGCGTGCGCATGCATATACACAGAGAGACGTGGGTGTCCATGTGTGTTCTTCCTTGCAAGTACTTCTTTTCCCCATGCAAATACACAGTGTGCCCATCTATCCCTTGCTGATGCTGCATTGCTCCCCTGAGTCTCCTTCTCAGAGCTCTGTCCAGTTCAATTTGCAATTTCTCACATGAGTCAGCCTCTCTCCCTTCCCATTTGGTAGACTAATTGCTCTCATGGCAAGTCAGCAAATGGCTACCGTTCTCTTGCATTTGCTCAAGGCCAATTCCTTTCCTTCTCATCACCTACTGCTTTTTTGCTCCTGGATTCTTTCACCTATCCAAGCACATATCTGCACCAGCTCAGCCGGGCCACACCCTCACCAGAAACTAGGCCAAGCTCTAGAGTTTCAGTTCTCCTAATGCTGCTCCATGAACACAGCCCTTTAGGCACCAGACTGTAACGTCAGGGATGGGGGAAGCTGTAACGCTCTGAATAGCGTAGGACTCCAACTTCCACCAGCCCCAGGCACTATGGCCAGTGAATGATGGGAGTTGTAGTCCAGCAGCCAAAGTTTCTCCATTCCTGCAACAACTGCAGGAATGGAGTGTGTGGTCGTCTGCAGAGAAAATTCAGCACATAAGTACTTCCTTGTATGTACAGGTGTGGCATCTGAATATAGACTGCATTTTTAATCAAGACTTATATTGGCTTATATCTTGATCAGGTTCCTAAATTAAATGGGCTTAGATTTTCAAATGTTTCATGCCAGGCAAGAAGACTAGCTGTTTAGAGAACACTGGCAATGTTTTCCTCCTAGACAAGGGGCCCCTTGATTTATAGCAGAAAACAATTCTCAAAGTCGTAAAAGCTGGAATTACAGACTGAGAACGAGGACACTGACCCTACATGTTACAGAAGATAAAAAAGGCAGAGATAAACATAATTAGGAATGAGTAAATAGTAAAATAATACCAATGTGCCTCCCAGTAAAATGAGCCAGATCTTCTTTCTAAGGTTAAAGACCAAATGGAGAAGCATCTAGCTGGCAGAAAGAGAGCATTTTTGGGAAGTCTTTTTTAAAAGCTGTTTCTTTCTTAAACTGAGAGAGTTGAAGGGCAATAAATGGGGAAAGCAGCTGGCGGAAAGGGGGGTGTAAACTGAAGAGGCTTCTTTTGAAGCTGTATTTTACTGAGTTCCTTTTTCTACTTTAAAAAGGCCTTATTCCTTTTAAAATGCTACCTATGTTATGTATTAAATATTGGCTTAAATGTAATTATGCAAAGGATTTAAGAAATGCTAGATTCTTATTTCATATAGTTGTAAGAGTTGTATTTATCCTGAAATTAAGTCAGCCACCAGCCTAGCCCCCCCTGCCAGACAGGAGACGCCATCCAAGCAGTCCTGATATATAGCTGTCAGACATTTGTTTAGAAACCTTCAAATGAAGGAGATCTTTCAATGTTGATGTGAAACTCAAGATCCTTGACATATGTTTAAGATAAAAATTTAAGATTAACCATTTGTTTTAGAAGGCAATAGGGCAAGGAGGGCAAGAGGTGAGCTGGTAATTAAGATTCCTTGTTGAGACACATGTAAGATATATTACTACTTATTTGTCATTTATAGATGTAACAATATATAGCTCTTTGTGTTCCATATAAGGACAGGAGGATATGGGTGTATCTTTTAGGATTGGTTATAGCAATCAGCCAATAGGAAATCCAACCAGGCTGATTGGACAGAGGCAGCCAAAGGAGGAGCAAAGGGGGCTGGATTAAGGGAATATAAGTGCTGGCCATAATGGCAGGAGGCCAGGCCAGAGCTTGGTAACCATATACCACTGTGCCTCTCATTTATTTGTCTGACAAATAAATTATTATTTTAATTTCTCTATTGCTGCGTTGAATATTTCATTCCAGCTAAGCGTTAACCACAAGCAGGGTGCTACACAGGCTCTGTACATACAGGTTTTCTGCTGCTCCAGAGAAGCGGACACGGAGCAATGGATCCAAACTACAAGAAAGAAGATTCCACCTAAACATTAGGAAGAACTTCCCGACAGTAAGAGCTGTTCGACAGTGGAATTTGCTGCCAAGGAGAGTGGTGGAGTCTCCTTCTTTGGAGGTCTTTAAGCAGAGGCTTGACAACCATATGTCAGGAGTGCTCTGATGGTGTTTCCTGCTTGGCAGGGGGTTGGACTCGATGGCACTTGTGGTCTCTTCCAACTCTATGATTCTATGATTCTGCACAGGTGTCCAGTATATCTGCACCATGCCAACCTCCTGCTGCCTTGCCGCTCCCCCTCCAGAAAGGGCAAACTTTGAAGGCCAGTGGATTATTAGGAATAGGGAACAAATTGTGGGGCGTATCATCTGGTTCAACATTTGTTCATCCTGCACGGTTCAATGCGTTTCCCTGTCACTTTCCCAACCCTAAAAAGTCCATTTTTAAGAAGTGATATATTACACTAGGATGACAGAGACCATCAATTCACTTTAATTGGTGAATCCCTCTCACAAGAGAGTGACAGTCTGGAGGCCTCCTCAGTCATAATACCAAGTTTCACCAACACCCAACAGAAACGGTTTTCCCAATAAAAGAGAAACTCCACTGTTTCAGAAATGCTTCTTCCTAGCAATTTTGCTTTAGGTTTCTTGGGGGCGGGGGCCATCCGTCCTCTTTATTTTTCCTTTAGCAGAAGTTCCATTCAAAGTGTGTGTTTCCCAGCAACCAGCCAGTAGGATATAGACGATGCTGTTAACTGAAGGGCAGGAGCTCACGATTCCCATTGATTTAGATAATCAGTTTAAATATTAAAACAGCAGCAGAAGGGAGATAAAAACCCTTAACAGCAGAGATTAAGAAAGCAGTTTACAGAGGTGGGTATTTTGACAACATTCTGTTGCCCCACCTAGTGGCTCAAGGAAGAAAAGTGCATATTGATTCTCTTAAAGGCACTCAGTTCTGTCTTACATTGTGCAAGCAATACTTTCCATTTCTTTGTAGGCCCAAATATTGCAGTTGGGGGGGATACCCCATAAAACTTTTTAACAATAACAATAGTGATGGGCGTTGCTGTCCAAAGAATGGTGCTGAAATAGGTGTTTAAAATTATTTCACTGGAGATTAAACAAAAAATCTTGGGGAATTTGTTGCTTTCTATTGCTTTCTTTCCTAGGAGAGAGTAGAAAGAAATTTAAAGTGTGGAGTTGAGGATTTAAGGTAAGATATGATACCCCTCACCCTGTAAATCCATGCCAGTAACAGAATACATGCCAGTTCTTCTAAATACCCCCTTAATGTTTCCTCTCTCTCTCTCTCTCTCTCTCTCTCTCTCTCTCCTCCTCCTCCTCCTCCTCCTCCTCCAGCATCCTTAACCTCTCTCCTCTCCAGCCCAAACAATGGGACTGCTAAATGGAGATTTCACTAATGAGGTTTGGCTGCTTCACATAAAATGGATTTAGACAATCACTGGTGACCCACCTTCTGTGTGCATTATGACACAGCCATGTGCACTCCTTATCACTCTGCTGTAGACACTAAACAGTGTTTTGTGCATGAGAATTGCATAGAAACCCAACAGATCTTGTGGGCTTTCAGGGCAGAGAAGTGTGTGATTTTGGTTGAGCAGAATCACTGCAGGAGAAGAAGAAAAAACAAAGTGAAATGTTCCCCCCTTCCCTTTCCTCTTTTGCTTCCTAGAGACTGTGCACTTAAGCAAAGGGATTATATTCTCCTCCACATCATTTCCATCTAATTGAATTTAGCAGAAGGTTAGTGCTGAATCAAATGCTTCTTGATGTTTCTTCAGGCTTCTGTCTATCTGAAACAGACTTTCCATGTATTTATTCAACTTTAAGAACAAGATCTTAAGGAAGAAGTTACAAAAAACACACAAACATATGGGCAAATGTGATCTTTGAATTTATTCTATGTATTTATTCTATGTATTTATTCTAATACATAATTTTAAAGAAATAGATGACGTCTCCACAGATCTATCAGGCTGGATTTTAATGCAGCTTCTGGGGCAGGATGCTAAATCGCAGATCCTCTGACCTAAACCATTCAAATTGTGTTGGAGCTTCCAGTTTTATTCTGTTTCATAGCAATGCAAACTTTGCAATGCAGGTTTGAAATTGAGGGATTTGACCACCTTTTTATTTTAAAGAGTAGACCTAGCCTACCTACTTATTATCTTGGGATCTCACCTCAACTGTCCCATCAGCACAAGGATTGCCTCCACCTGTGTGTGCCCTATTGCCCCAAATTGGTTCCTAGAAACCTCCCAAAAATTTACGAGGGGAAGGGGGGGAGTTCCATTGGCCAGGCAGAAATCCTTGCACTGATGGGACCATTTACTTAGTGCTAAAACCAACCCCATGCAGACCTTGTCTGAGGCCCGGGGCAGGAGTCCTGTTAGAATAAAATTATAAACTCAAACAAAAAAGCAGGCAGTCTCTGGTGGCCCCCACCTCCCAGCTTAGCCCTCCGAGGTCCGGGGCAAGTGTACACAATGCCCCCTTCCCTGCTTTGCATGGGCCTGGCTACAACCCCCCCAGGATTTAACCTTTAGCTTTCATTAGGTTAACAGAAATCAATCAGAAGTATTTAGAAAATTAATTTTCACTTTAGTTTGTATTTTATTTTAATCAAACGATTGCACACGTATACCATTAATTAGAAGGCTCCAGAACATATTAAAACCTCCCATAGCAACGTTGATAACATAATTAAAAACAAGCTAAGAAGCTTTCAGTCTACAAGACACAATAAAAATGGGTAAAAGGAGGCAGAAAAGAAGCAGACTCAGGCATCCATTCTTGAAGTCTTGCAATAATCCAGCTGGAATAGAAGCAGTTCAGGGAGAAGAGGAGCCAATAGACCTAATCACTTTGCCTGACCACAATGGGACCAGATCTTAACTCTCCCTCCACTGTAGCCTGCCACAACCACATAGTGCATCTGAGCACATGCCAAGTGTTTTCTTCACAGCACTAAGCAATTACGACCTGCTCCATTATCACACATTTAGGGCCAAATTGCATGTTATGTGAACAACATATATGTGCCTTTAAAAGCAGCTGTTGTTTTTTAAAGCTGGAGATGGCTTAGAGACAGCTTTAACCTTTTAGGCAATTGTGGTCCTGATCCAGTTTGAGTGTGTGTTCATGCATGCAACAGGGGTTCAAAAGCTACTAATATTTTCCTCCTGCATTAAAATCTATGGCAGCAACTACTGGAGAAATAAGGTGGTGTTTGTACAAATTGAATTTTGAAGCATGAATTTTGCCAGGATTACAGTGTTTGAAGAGAGAGCCACCTAATGGATTCCATGTGCAATAAGTATTTCTTTAGTTTTGGAATATAATAGTGACACGGAGGCACCAATGTTTTGGGGGCCCAGGGCACTTTTGGAAACTTGAGAAACTTTTGTGAGCACCACACACACTTTGCAACTGACCAATCAATGACATACCATGTAGCCCCACCCACCACTGCAACAATGCAGCCTTCTGATAAGACAAAATTCCACACAATCACATTCCTTGCAATCATCCTCCACAGCAATCACTCACACAGCCCTTAACCACACAACGCAACACAACCGTACAATACATGCTTTACTACCACACACCTCATGTAACCACAGAACTCCTCCTGCTCCCACAGCCACCCCCCCTTTTCAGCCATACAACGAGAACTAACAATTACATTCAAAAAAATCATTCCTGCAAAAAAGCTACTTTCATGTTTAAGAGACCCTAATATTTCAATACATTTGCTTTTCAAAAACCAGGAAAATTAAAGGATTAAAAATATATATGCTGGTTTAATTCCTGAGTTGACTCAAACTCAACAAAACCAGGAAATTAGAAGTCAAGGTTGACACCTTAACAACTGGGCCCCTCCATCAACCACGATGTTGTGAAATGTTACAAACTGTGCTTTCTTACAACTTACCCTTCATGCACAAATCCAGAAGCGAAGGATGGAGTGCCTGGGACCCGCAAAGACATCCCACATTGTGCTGATTCTGTAATATCTGAGCCTTAGACAAATTCTCCTGTGTGTTGGTCCAAGCCTACATGTGGGCTTGGAAGCACACCAGCTGCATCCTCCACAAGAGGCCCTGATTTGCACAGAAGGCTGTGTTATTGTGCAGCACAATTAATATGCAGCAGATACTCTGCCAGAATAAAGAGGGTCGAAAGGTCAGGACCCAGAGGGGGCATCTGCAAAAGTGCAAAAAGTCCCCAAACTACAATAGCAGCAGGTGGTGGTGTCAGGCTGGGGGAGTTTGGTGGTGGTGGGGAATCAAGAATGGAAGGTCAGCTACAGAGCAACCCAGGGATCCAGAACTGGACTAGTTGTGAATCTTGAAGAAGATGCTTTAGAATAGGATACCAAGTCAAAAAGCTGCACAGAGCCGTTGCTTCATGGAAGGAAATTGCAAGGTGGAGTCTCAGAAAAGGAACCTCAATTGATCTGTCAATCTTTTCTAGCAAGTATCTTGACAGTTGCACATTAGGATTAAAGGAGAAGGAGAAGATGTACTGAGTGAATGCTTAATTTTTTAAAAATAGCACTAGAGTCATTGATTCTTCTTCCCAGCACTGGCAGATCAAGGATTAATGGTGCTTATGCAGCCCAGCACTAGATATACTCAAGTAAATGAGAAGGACTACGGTAAGTTGAAAAAGGGAGAAAGAGGAGGCAGTCCAAGGGAGCAGTCCAGCAGCATCACTATCTTCCTGGCAGTGAAATTAATACCAGGGTCACTTTCTCTTGAAATCTGTTCCCCTTAGGCTTATGGTGCCAACCGGAGGTGAATGGTTGCTGCTCCATTCAGTAGAAGCGGCCTGTGGGCAGGCGAGGCAGGCAGAAATAAGCACTGGGGAAGAGGCTCAGGTTGATGGGGTTGCCGTCCAAGCGGATGTCCTCCAGAGCCCGGCGGATGTGGCTGTGGTCCCTGCTGTCGCAGAACGTGTCTACGTGCATGGTCTGGATGTTGTTGTTCTAGGGAAGGAAATTGAGAAGCGAAGATGATCACCAGCTGGGGCTGGTGGAGGAGAGGGGGGGGAGGAATCACCAACACTCATAGATCAAGAAGAGGCTCGAAGTTATTCGTGTTTTCCCTTGTTCTGAATTCTGAGACTCCATGGGAAAAACAGACCAATCAGTAAGCCTTGGGGCATGATAGCTAGCTGGAAAGGGCCTTCACCACTATAGACCAGGGTGGACTACCACCTGGACTTCAAAACACTTAGGCCTGATTGAATGCATCCAGGTCTCTTGCGGGGCATGGCGTTGGTCATGGAGGTTGGCAAGAGACCCCATTTAGGGTTCAATCGCAATTGCAAGACAGGGAAAGAATATCAGTAGGTACAGATCACATGCAATTAGAGAAATAATGGCAAAGATAATGCATGAGCCCATATTATAACTGCTCCTTTCTTTTTAACAGTAATACAAAAGGAAATGAATGGCAAATGACTGAGTCTTTCAGAGGCTTGTGCTTTGGCTGTTGGTGTCCTCTCCCTCTCTCATTTAAAGAGTTCATCGTCACTCTCTCACCTGTAGATGCAAAGACCTCAGTCTCTCAGGCAGCAGCATGGGGATGTAGTCCAGTTTGTTGTCAGACAGATGAAGGAACTCCAGCTTCTTCAGATCCTGAAAGCAGAAGGAAGAAGGACCATCAGCCCTTGCCTCCTTGAGTGTTCAAGTGAGGCATCCCAGGATTTTCAATGGAAATGTGAGATTTCAAAAGAAGTCAGCTTGGCTAGGCCCTAGCAGGTTGAAATCCAGGACAAAGCAGCTAAGGGTTCATGCAGGGGTAAAAATCTAACCCAACAGGAAGCTGGGCCTCCACAGATGATAGGAGGAACCCAAAATATTATATCAAATTGTGGTTCCTCATAAGGATGTCCGAGAATTCCATCCTAAGCAGCCATTGGAGCAGATATTGCTATAGTTTGCATATCTACCTGTTCAGGAGCTGTGTTCAACTGATGGTGAGTGGGTGTGTTCAAATCCTGCTTTCTCTGGCAAACCTCTAAGCACCCAGCCAACCTAATAGGATTTAACCACTGCCCCATCTCTGCCTCAATCAGCAAGTGCAGGTGTGAAATCAATAATAGTGACAATAATTATGACAGAACTTATGAAAAAATATAGCAGACAGACAGCAAGATGCTGGGAATGAACTGCAGCAGAAAAGAAAAGATGCTGATTTTTATGAATAAAATTATGAATAAATTTTTATGAATCCATACAGGTTGGAATAGAAATGGCTGCCTTCTTACCTTTAAGCACCCAGGCCAAGAGACAAGCTCAATAAACAGATGGCAAAAAGTCTTGGGTGCTCTGGAGCCTGCTAAATGTCTGTTACATAGGATGTAGTACAAACGAATATTGATTTTCTACAGCTTTATATTGTGTTTTTTTGTTTGTTTGCATAAAACATAGGCAAAAGGTTAAATGCAGAGACCTCAAGGTAATAATAAGGGAGCCCCCATCCCCGGACCTTCCTGAATTCCACTGCTGGGTTCATCACCAATGGTTAATGTCTAAAGCAGGAGCAGCCAAAGTGATGCCCTCCAAATATTGATAGACATTGCCCCCAATAATCTGCTATGCTGTCTGGGGCTGATGGGAGTTGGGACAACATCTGGAGGACCCCACGTTGCCTACTCCTGTTCTAAAGCAAATCAAGAAACCACAAGGAGAGGGCTCAAACCTGGTGATAATTCGCCCAAATCCCAGGTAGGGCTGTAGTGACTCAGTGACATGGCAAGCAGCTGCAATCAATGAGATTGATCAGCCTCTATAGCTCAGATCCATTAAGAGGTCCACAACACCAGGGGCAATCACTTTGTACCCTAGATCATGTGAATGCTTCACTCACGTTGTCTGTCCCCACTCCCCACCCCAAAACACTTGTGAAATGATGCAGAACATCCATGTGGAACAACCTTCTCTTACCAATACGGAATGAGAACAATCCAAAAAGGAGCAGCAAATAGTGGAAGGGGTCTTAATCTAGGCCTTGCAGCATTTGAGAGATATTTGAGAGATGCTCACCTTGAAGGCTTCCGGTTGAATGCCTGCACTCTGGATTGCATTAAAACGGGCATCCAGCTGCACAATGGAACTGGGCAACTCAGGCAGGGAAGTCAATTGGTTTTCAGGGAGGACAAGCTCTTGCAAGGAAGGCAGCATCCTGAAAGCGTCTTCATCCACCCAGGAAATAAAGTTGCTCGTGAGGTCAATTCGTTTCAATTTTGCTGTGAAAAAAATAGTTTTGGGAGCCAAATCACAGGCGATCACTTGGAAATCAGTTAATGCGTATCACTACCATAGTGTTTCCTATTTTAAATGAGACCACACATCCCTTCCAAGAGAGTGAGAATAGACTGGGATGCACTTTCGCATTGGTAGTTGATGATAGCCCTTGTGCAAGCCCATTTCTGCATCACTTGCCTGTTCAGCCCACCTCCCTCCCCTCACACACACACTTGTTGCAGTGATCTCTGGTGAACTGACAAGGTTAGGGGGAAATTGTCAATTTCGCAGATGCCACCAGCGGTTTGGTGCTGTTGTTTTAATTACAATATTACTATGAACACCAGCACTGGAGTACATATATGCTATTTAAAGAAAATAAAAACAGCTAAAGAAACATGCCACTGAAAGGCTGCTTCAATGCATGCACAAAATGTAAGATAAAACCAAATGTGCAGGATACACTCCTCTCTCAACATTTGGGAGCTGCAACTAGAATCTGGGATCTCTTTGGCGCAGGAGTGTAACATAGATTCAGCCCCAAACAGGATCACTTCCTCTTTTTGACATGTTTGGTTGTATTTATCTTTCTCTAGGGCTTTGATGGGGGTGGACTGAAATATTGAGCCCTCTGGTATTGTAACAGGATTGTATCCAGTGCTATGCCAACAAGTTTCCACTGGTGCAATGAGGCCTTCTTTTCCTCTCCTCCCAACAAATCTGCTCTTAAGAGTACCCCTATTTATCCTAAGCTGATTTGGGGGGGGGCAGACAAGGGGCTGGAAAAGGCACAAGAAGAAGAGGAAGTTCTATTGTGCCAGAATTGAATATGACCTCTTCTTCTTCTTCTTTTTTAAAGAATCAAAATGAAATTAGCTGTTCTGACACTGATTTCTCACAAAAAACTTGCTTTCAACGCACAGCCCAGGAACTGCACAGCTGACAGGCTTTGTGAAGTGAACATGTTCTCTTCCACCAGTTTCCCCTGGTATTAAACAGTGTGAGATGCTAGCAAAATGCCAGCCTTTTCTTTTGGTATTGGCTCAAAACCTTCAAAGGTGAAAACCACATTCCTCTTGAGGCTTTCCACTGGCTGAGAATAGTGCATTACAAGGTCTCAAATGTATGTGCCTGGCAGAAATTGGTCAGTCTTTTCCATCTCCAGATCCTGGCATATTTATTTGTTAAGAAAAAGAATATTTTAGGCCACAGTTATTTGGGGTTAATGCTCTGCAACCACGAACACGAGGGAGCCTTTGTGCCTTACATATGCTGGCACCTGGCTGCAGAACAAGCAAAAGTCCTGAGGTTTTCTTTTGCATATGCACATAATTTGTGCACTAAAGATCATATACGACAGGAGTCAAATTAACATCAGGCTGTGCAAGAGAGAATAGTTTGGTGCTCATATGAATCCTATTCCAGATCTTTATTTGTTTTACGTATGGTCGGAACTCAAAATAGTTGCCCAGTTGTTAATGGACTTGGGGATCAAAGGGTGAGTTCACCCAAATCCCACCAGGATGGGATGAATGTAACCAGGTTATGTCCAGATGAACAGTGAAACTGGCTTTGTGTGATTGCTTCATCACACGCCCAGACTAGTAACTCAACTCACGGTTATCACTGCAGAATCCATTGTCATAGCACATAATAAAGGGGGATATCGTTCCAAGTAGTGGAGCAATTATGTCATACTCACTGCAACCCAGATTTTGCCCAGATTCATCCCATTCACATTTTCCAGCACACTTTCAGCCTGTTCACACATCCATTTAGCATTTGATAGCCACAGGGAAAGCCTGTAGGAATCTAGCCTATGCTGTGCCAGCTCTATGTGTCTTTCACCACGTTGCAGAATTTGTGGTGACATGCCCAAAACCAAATTCCTTTCCCACTGCTGCTTCCACACACCTTGTGGCCATGAAAACAGGGCCTGATTGGGTCAGATTGTTGGCTTGCAATCTGGCAAGGACCCAATCTTCTTTCAGAGTGCATTATGAAATAAGAGCCAGTTTGAAAACAGACTCTGGTATTCAGATACCCACTTCCGAGACAAGTGTGTGGCAAACACATTTCCCATTGCACCATCAGGAGAGTAGAGGGAAGAGCAGAGAGTTGCACAGGTGACTTTGCTTGTAACAGACAAGGCTGCCTAGATGGGGTGAAGCAGCTTGCAAGTGTGAGAACTGTAACCAGAAGCCCTAAGGAGCATAGCATACCAAGTCCGGTGAAGTCACTGGCCTGAATCTTGCTGATGTGGTTGAAGCGGGCATAGAAATATGTGGTCTCCAAGGGCAGAGGTGGGATGTGTTCTAGATCAGAGTCATCACAGTACACAGAGGTGCTGATGCACACACAGACCAAACAGGTGGGAAGACCTAGAGACAGAGTAGAGAGGGCCTGATCAGTGAAAGAGTTTAGGAATGGCCCTCCACAGAGAGGGAGAAATCGTTGCTGAACCCAGTAATGATATATGTGGTGGGACAAAGCTACAGAGCTGCTCTCCTGAGGCCAGCACTGCTACAGCTCAACCTGGATTACACTGGGATGGGCCAGGGTGGTGGTGTGATTGTGGCTGCACAAACACACCAGCAGAGGAAATTGGGTGCTCTAGCTGGGGTATCCACATCCTGGCCATGCTGCCTCACCCCAGCACTGCCCAGGTAAGCTAAGCAACACCATTGTCAAGAGGCTGGCTCTGTAGCTCTGCCTCGCCATTTGGGCTGCTAGAGGTTGAGTTACAGTTTCCACCATTCCTAAGCATTGGCCGTAATGGCAAGGGCTCAGAGGGAGATGGAGTTCAACAACATCTGGAAGGCCACAACTTCCCTATCCCTGCTTTAAGGAATAAGACAAACATTTAATTCTTAGAGGATTAGAGCTACTGGACACATCCATTCTTTAAGTGCTCACATTTTGGTATTACTTTTTTAAAAAAAAATGCATTTTCCATTTTTCTATTTACACATCTTACTTTCCCATCACGCATTGTTTCTGGTATTACTTTTTTAATTGAAATGCTGTTGCATTTTACTGTGTTCCTTTGTTTGCTAAACCGATCCTGAGAATTCTCCAGTACTGTATGTCCATGACTACCCATGACCTGAAAAATCTTGTTAAACATTTGTCTTTTTTGACAAATAACATAGTGAACTGTCAGCTGGACATTCATTTTATTATTTGTGTATATTGAATGAATGAATCTTTATTTGCATCATCCACCAGCCATAGCAATAAAACAAACAAAATGTATATTTGTATTATTACAACAAACAGCAGCAGCAGCAGCAGCAACAACAACAACAACTTATTACTTACACCCCCCCCCCATTTGACTAGGTTGCCCCAGCCACTCTGTGTGGCTTCCAACATAATGAAAACACGGCAAAACATCACACATTGAAAACTTCCTGATACAGGGCTGCCTTCAGATGTCTTCAATAAAGTCAGATAGCTGTTCATTTCCTTAACATCTGATGGGAGGGCATTTCACAGGGTGGGTGCCACCACTGAGAAGGTCCTCTTCCTGGTTCCCTGTAACCTCACTTCTCACAGTAAGGGAACTGCCAGAAGGCTCTCGGAGCTGGACCTGTCTGGGCTGAACAATGGGAGTGGAGATGCTCCTTCAGGTATACTGGTACATATTTATACTCCACCTTTTCCCAAAGGAGCTCAGGCTGGCATACATGGTTCTGCTATGCACCTCACCAGGTAACCTTGAGCCTGAGTCACTTGCTCAGTCACACTTACTCAACCTAGGCTGCCTCACAGGTTTGTTGTGGGGATAATACAGGGGGCAGAACCTTGTATTCTGCATTGAGCTCCCTGAGGAAAGGGTAAGATTGAAATGTAAGAGATAAATGATAGATCTGCTATTTCTCCAAGACTCAAATATTTTCTGAAAACTGTGGGCATGGGATAGAAGGAATTGCCATTCTCAATTTGCTATCAGGTGAGAGGACGACCAAACAGCAGGCCAAGTTTTTGTGATGTCCTGATATGGAAAATGTGGGGTGTCAGATTGGCTCTGTTCACAAGTGAGTGCTAAGTTCTTTTAAAAGGCAAAAAAGAGGAACAAATGAGTCAATTCCAATTAAAGAGACGAATCACAAACCACTAGTCCAAATTGCTGCTTAGCAATGAATCAGCCTGGGCCAAGTCCAATACAAAGGGTGCAACATTGCCTTATTAACCTTATGGTGTTACCCCAGGAATTTTGTTTGGCCTTTCATATTCAGAGAAACCCAACCGAAAGGAAATGGGAGTTATTTTTGCACTTAGAAATCATTGCTGCTGTTACGTCTGGAGCCAACAGCCCATTGCAGAGTCAAAGTGACAAGATTCCAGGCACCAATTAAAACTGCTTGAGTATTTAAAATAAAAAAACCTCCTATTCAGAGGACTAAACAGACTCCAAATCTATTAGTGGAGGAGTTCAAAGCAGAAAGCCAACAATTTCGCTCAGCCTACTACTTAATTTGTCCCAGTTCAGAGTGGCAGAAAATGAATAAAGATATTTATCCCTCGCTACAGGATTTTAATTGTCACTAATCTAATTGCTACTCTGTCCGATTTTCGCTGCGTCGCTGCTCATTAAAGTCTTGGTGCTTTGCTGGCGTTTCTGTTTGTTTCTGAGCAGCTCCTTTATCAAGCTTCTCTCCTGTCTCAAACAAGGAGCCCAAGCCTGCTTGCTTTTTAAATGTACAAGCAGAGCAAATTTTGCTTTCTTTCCATCTGCTAGATGGATGGGCATAGGGCAGAGAGGGGATGAGGTGAAAAGAATCAGGCGCCTCTTTTAAATGTTCAACAGTGTGTGTTTGTTTATCAAAAGAAATGGGAGCTGCTTTTCCCATCAATTAAAATACTCAAAACTGGCATGCAGTTTGAAAAAACAACATAAGGACAACAAAGGAATACAAAAATAAACCAGGCAAGATATAAAAGCTGGCAGCAGAGATAAATACAACACTAGCAGCACCATTCCCTTAAAAAGAAAAAAGAAAAGAAAAAAGCAGGCTTTACTTGAACAATTTTTTTTGTTTTATGGTGGAAGAAGGATGCTTATTACCATAATATATTATTCATTAAATTGGTATAGCACCCTTCATCTGAAGATCACAGGGAGGTTCACAACAGAAAAATACAAAATGAGAACACAAAATACATAATAAAATACACAATAAAACAAAAACTAATCAATAGTCCCACAAGCACATTTAAAAGGCCACAGAATATTAATCAGCCAAAGACTTGGTTATAATGAAAAGTTTTCGCCTAGCACCCACAGTTATGAAGGAGTCAGGTGAGCCTCCCTGGGGAGAGCATTTCACAAATGGGGAGCCACCACAGAAAAGGTCCATTCTTGTGTCCATTTGTGGAGGAGGCACATGAAGAAGGACCTCAGAGGATGACCTCAAGGTCCAGGTAGATTCCTGTGGGAAGAGGCGGTCCTTGAAGTATTGCGGTCCTGAGCTATTTAAGGCTTAGGTCAAAACTAACACTTTGAATTGGGCCCAGAAACTAATTGGCCGCCAGTGCAGTTGGGCCAGAATTGGTGTAATATGCTCAAACCGTCTTGCCCCGGTGAGCAACCTGGCTGCTGAATTCTGCACCAGCTGAAGTTTCTGAACTGTCTTCAGAGGCAACCCTATGTATAATGTGTTGCAGTAGTCTAACCTAAAGGTTACCAGAGCATGGATAACAGAAGTTAGGCTATCACTGTCTAGATAGGGGCACAGCTGAGCCACCAGCCCAAGCTGATAGAATATGTTCCATGCCAATAAGGCCACCTGAGCCTCAAGTGACAGCAAAGGATCCAGAAGGACCCTCAAACTGAGTTCCTGCTCCTTCAGAGGGAATGTACCCCCATTAAGAGGAAGGAAACTATCCAGTCTGGGGAACCACCCAATAACAGTGCCTCAGCCTTATCTGGATTGAGTTTCAGCTTGTCGGTTCTCATCTAGTTAATCACTGAGGCAAGGCAATGGTCCAGCCCATCTACTGCCACACCTGCAGAAGTGAAGGAGAAGTAGAGCTGTACTCCAGAACTCCCGATAACCCAACTCGATGTTTTCGTGTAGATGTTAAACAGCAAGTCTGAAGAAGATGCTGCCGAATATATGCAGATTGTTTAGGGCTTTGCAGGCAAAGCTGATCAGGTGTTTAGTGATTTATTTATTTCTAGATGTTCAACTTCAATAAGCTTTTAATATTTAGTGATATGTTGCTTTTAGACTGTTTCTTATTTAACCATCACTTCTCCCCTTTGAGCTAAAGACAAGGAAGCTATCATCACAGCGAGGACCCAAAAGAATAAAGGAGCCATTCAATCCCAGATGTGACAAAACATCCCTTCCTTGGGCCTTCAGGTATTGTATGATGCCTTAAGCCTAACATGGCACTCCAAACAGTCATGAATTGTAGCTATTGAGGAACCCATCCTGTACGGATATGAAGAAACACACAGATGCTTCACATTCCTCAAGAGACCCCAGCAGTACAACTGGGGCAATATTTCACCAGCTGCTTCACGCTGGAATTTCCTGCGCAGCATATGCCACCCTTATCCTTAGTTTTTGTTTCATGCAGAAAGACTAATGGTTTTGAGTGGCGGTGTTTTACTCACCCTGATCTGTTATGGACCCAAACAGGCCTGGTCCCTGAGGCCTGGCAGCCGTGGATGTGGGTGGGCTCTTTTGTGGAATTTCAGTTGCCCCAGTTGTTGTGCTCAGAGGCCCCAGCAAGCTCTTGGTAGGAGGAGGCAGGGTGCCAACCTCAATCTGTAAGTAAAGCAAGGGTCTTGTGATTGCATTAGTTATGATTCTCAGAGTCTATTTTACAGAGGGGGAAACCGAGTCATATGTAGGGCAGAAGTTTCCAGATTGGTCTTCTAAGGGTGATTCATATATAATGATGTTTTTCTTCTGCACACAAACATTTCAGGTGTCCCTTGCTGGGGTAATGTTACATAGTCTAATGTTCCCAGCAGCTGAAAGGAAATGTCATCCTTCTTGTGGAAATTGCAGTTCACCATATTAGAGGCCAGTTGATTATCGCAATACATTTCTTTATGTATGGATGCAGGGGTCTTGATCTGGATCAGGACCCTGGTAGCAGTGGGTATGCAGAGAGGGAGGCTTTAATGTTTTGTCACCTGCTGCAGTTCTGACCAAGATTTGTGTCTGCTACTTGCATTGGGAAGAAAAGCTCTCATTTGCACGACTGGACATTTTTCTTCCAATACAAATAGCAGTTGTGGGGGGGGGGGCGGAATCCAGACTAAGGTTGCACTGGTGGACAAAGGGATAAAACCTCCTACCTGCATATACGGGGGCCTCAGTCTGGATCAGGTACCTTTTTATATGAAAAAATCCAATCATTCAATTAATTGCAGAAACAGCATCTCATTTAGTTTGGTTCTGAGGGCTAAATCATAAGTTACATTAAAATGTTGCTTTAACTAGTAAATGTAGGTGGTTATGAGAGGGGGAGAGGGTGACAGAATCGGAACAGAACAGTGGCATGTGGAGAATTTGAGATCTTAACCCTCCTCCTGCAGTCTCCGAATCCCCCTCTTGGCTGCAATTGGAGGGAATCTCCCTTTGGTGTCGGTTTTTGTTGGCGCCGTGACAGGGGAGGAGAAGGTCCCCCTCCCAGCATACTATGGTCCTGATCTGGATCTCCCCACTCCTACTGCAGTGGCATGCAGTTGCTCTTTAAGACTTCGGTCTCCTTAAACATATTTATGGCTGCCTATGAACTGCCCTGACAATAGCATTGGTGAAGGATTTATAGAGAGTACAATCTATTGCAGCTAACAATGTAAGTGTGGGAGACAGTGGAAGAGATGTGCACAGCTAATTGAAATTGCCGCCGACAGTTGAGCTCCTGGGGTAAGGTGGTAAAACCTGAGAAGCTGATGCCTCTGCACAGGGTGACTACGTCTACATATAAGTGTACACCCACACTGTACACCCAGAATTGTGATTTGGCCCAAGGGTAATCCAAATTCTGCAAGCAGAATATACCAGTTTGCATGTGTACACTATATACACAACCATCTGGCAAGAGTTAGTGGGTTGTTAGAAAGGCAGAGTATGAATATTGGGGACAGCTAAATTATTGGGAGGCACTTAAAGCTGCGATTCTGAGCAGGACAAACAATCTGCTGAATAACAGACCTCACATTTCAGTGGCAATTCTATAGTACCTTTGATGCCAGGTCCCCATAATCGTAGTTCTCTTCATAGTTACTGAGATCGATGACCTCTCCATAGTTGTCCAGGTTGAGGTCATAGTTGCCTAAATCCAGACTGTCATAAGTGGCAGGTCTGTGCTTCTCCGTCTTCTTTCCATCTTCCTTCAGTGGAACAGCCAGAGCCAGAGCCAGGGCGGATATTATGCCCACCAAGGCTGCAGTCTGCATCCTGTGCCTGAGTGGGGAGCAAGAAGAGCAGGAGCACCATAAGAAAGCCAGCACGAGGCGAGTACCATTCTTTGTTCTGACAAAGACTCTTTGCCATGCCCTTTGGCATGTTGGTCTACTTGGGCCTTAATTTTGCATCCATAAAAGTATGGGTATGTTGTAAGTATGAGTATGTTGTAAGAGACTCCAGTAAGATGGTGATGGGCAGGACCTTTCAAAACCTGACATCAGAGCATGGTCTAGAACCTGCTTTCAGTACCAAGTAGAGGAAAGAAAGGAGCTGGCTTTTGAACATAAACTGAGTGCTTTCCTTCCACCACTGAGAAAACACCACCAAGACCCTGGTTCCCCATGAATCTAGAATTCAGGTTTGCAGTGAAACCCTCACACTGGGTTCCCCTTACAGACTCCCTTTTCGAGAATGCAGGGCAAAGCTGACTGGGTGCCCTTGGGCTAGTCGCTGCCTCTCAGCCTAACCTACCTCACAGGGCTGTTGTGGAGATAAAATGGAGAGTGAGGGAGCCACGTACACCAAACTGAGCTCCGTGGAGAAAAATATGGGATATATGTGTAATAAAATAAGATAAATAAATAAAACCATGGGTCACTGACCTGATCTAATAGGCTCTTCTTGTGTTCTGAGGCAGGGGTTGGCTGAGGGCAGACTGAGGTTGGTTTGCCCTTCTGGAGCAGACTCCACTCTCTGCAGCAGAGCCAGATCCTAAGGAGCCTCAATATTGTTTTCTGCTCACTAGGCTTTTCTTCCTAGCACCACGCTTCCAACTCTGCCTTCTCAGTAATCTGGCTGCTGCTTTTTCCTGCTCCAACTCCTCATCAAAGCCTCCACTTTAGCTCCTTATTACTATACCTTCCAGTGCTTTCAGAGACCGCCTGACCTTGCCCTGCGGCACTTTCAAAAGGAGCTCCACTACAAGCTTCATAAAGAGCTTGCAGGCGGCGGGGAGTGGGGAGGGGGGGGACACAAGCAGTGGAGGTTCACAGTGCCAGGGAACAAATGGCTGAAGCTTCCAGCCCTGAGGGGATTATTAATCTCCTACCCCTTTCAGTCATTTTCATGCCTGACTGCTTTGCCGTGCTGGAGAGGCCCAGAGCAACTTCACCTCTTACTCACAAGCCAGATTTGACTGCAGTAGAAAAGGACGTTCAGACCCAGGGTGGCAAAGCTTCAGAAAGAGAGAGTTAAAGCTTCCGCTGCCACCACTGGGAATGCTGAGGCATCATTAGCAACTTGGTGAGTTGCAGACAATAAAGAGGATGCTTCTTACTTAGGTCTTAACCTGCATTTTTGCTCCCAGTTTGCCAAGTGCATGAACCCTGTCAAAAGCTATTTTTGGTTCAGTTCACAGCTGAGGGAATGAAAGCATGACTAGGAGATGCAATAGCTTTATTATTATTATTAATATTATTATTATTATTATTATTATTATTATTATCATCATCATCATCATCATTATTATTATTAATTTATTATTAATTTATTCTCAGCCACTCTGGGCGGCTTCCAACAGAATATTAAAATACAATAGTCCATCAAACATTAAAAGCTTCCCTAAACAGGGCTGCCTTCAGATGTCTTCTAAAAGTCTGGTAGTTGTTTTTCTCTTTGACATCTGGTGGGAGGGTGTTCCACAGGGCAGGTGCCACTACCAAGAAGGTCCTCTGCCTGGTACTCTGTAACTTGGCTTCTCGCAGCGAGGGAACCGCCAGAAGGCCCTCCGCGCTGGACCTCAGTATCCGGGCAGAACAATGGGGGTAGAGACGCTTCTTCAGGTATACTGGGCCGAGGCCGTTTAGGGCTCTAAAGGTTAGCACCAACACTTTGAATTGTGCTCAGAAACGTACTGGGAGCCAATGTAGATCTTTCAAGACTGGTGTTATGTGGTCTCGGTGGCCGCTCCCAGTCACCAGTCTTGCTGCCGCATTCTGGATTAGTTGTAGTTTCCAGGTCACCTTCAAAGGTAGCCCCACATAGAGCGCATTGCAGTAGTCCAAGCGAGAGATAACTAGATCATGCACCACTCTGGCAAGACAGTCCGTGGGCAGATAGGGTCTCAGCCTGTGTACCAGATGGAGCAGGTAAACAGCTGCCCTGGACACAGAATTGACCTGTGCCTCCATGGACAGCTGCGAGTCCAAAATGACTCCCAGGCTGCGCACCTGGTCCTTCAGGGGCACAGTTACCCCATTCAGGACCAGGATACCAGGCCACCACCTTCCTTCCCAATTGGCAAAACAAAACAAAAAGGATCCAAAACCTTTAAGGGAACAGGACTAGAACCCATAGCCTTGGCCACCTACAAGGAAGAGGTCCAGTGGTTGAGGCATTCTGAGTCTGGTACAAAGTTTCCCCTCTGAACAATGTGATGAAGAGACAGAGACTGAGTGACAGAATTTAAAACCGATTAACTTCTCTTGGAATAAGAATCTGTTTTGTTCGGAAGATGCCAGTGCTTGGACAGCAGCCATTTTTGGATCGTAATGTGTTTGCCAACGCATTTATTCCATCTGTTTGTGTATTTATGATTAATAATAATAATGATTATATATATAGAACCATCAATGTACATGGTGTTTACACAAGCCTAGGTGCATGCACACATACACACAAATTCAAATATGTTCCCACAGCAATGCATCACATATGTCCAATACTTGCAAACAGACACAGAAGCTCGCCCACAGAAGCATACAAGAAGCCTACATTATTACATTTACTTAAGCTTGTTTCAGGCACAGTTATAAATGCTAGTTTTAACCTTCAGATCCCTAAATGGTTTGGGACCCAGATATTTGAATCTAACCTTTAGGATCTGGAAGAGCTAACTTGTTTTTTAGGCACCCTTGACTTTGGAGATTTGGCTGATAGCAACAGGGGAAAGGTCATTCTTCGTGATGATGCTCCCAACCTTATGGAATGCCCCCCCCTCGATTTGTCAGATATGAATGACATTTATGCCATTCAAATGCCACAGCTTCTGATGGTTTTGTTTAAGGTATGGTTTTTTATATGCTGTGGTTATACATTTGTTATACAGTTTCTACTTTATTGGTTAATTTCTGCTGTCTTTCTTACATTGTATCGCCTTTGCGGTTGCGTGGATAGTGGTTCTTTAGACTTTTGCAATGCAGTGTTTACTTCAGTGAACCACCTTGTAGACCATCAGGCAGGAAAGTGGTATATAGATATTTAAATGTATTTAAATAATAAAATAGGCACATGACTATTCTACAGGAATGCATATGTGTAGGTAAAAAAAGGATAAAGCACCACTGGACAGTTAAGTCCAGTCAAAGGCGACTATGGGGTTGAGGTGCTCATCTCATTTTCAGGCCGAGGGAGTTGGCGTTTGTCCACAGACAGCTTTCCAGGTCATGCGGCCAGCATGAGTAAACTGCTTCTGGTGCAACAGAACGCCGTGATGGAAACCAGAGCACATGGAAATGCTGTTTACCTGCCTGCTGCAGCGGTACCTATTTATCTACTTGCACTGGCATGCTTTTGAACTGCTAGGTTGGCAGGAGCTGGGACAGAGCAACGGGAGCTCACCCCGTTGTGGGGATTCGAACCGCCAAACTTCTAATCGGCAAGCCCAAGAGGCCCAGTGGTTTAGACCAGAGTGCCACCCGCGTCCTAGCATGGGTGTACTCACACATCTGTGTGCACACATGGCAATACACACAATCCATACAGAAGAACACTTGCAAGCATATAAAAGCATTATCAGAGGTGCTCTCTCTCTCTCTCTCTCTCTCTCTCTCACACACACACACACACACACACAGTCTTTCATTGATGGGTGGATGTACATATCTGAGTAGAAATCTGTTTATAACATCCATTTCTGCCCCCCCCCTCCTATGCGTACATATGGACACATGTAAATTTAACCATAAAAGAGAACATTCTAAGAAAGGTGCCTTTAAGTGAGGACTGGGGTCATTACTCCCCACAGATCTTCCATTGATCATATCCAGCATTGGGACTATCATGGCCAGCTTTTGAGCCTCACACTGCAGGAAGAACTCATGCTTTGTGTAATAGTCCCAACAGTGGCGTAGCGTGGGTTGTCAGCACCCGGGGCAAGGCAAGTAATTTGCGCCCCCTAACCCGTGGATTTGCGCCCCCTAACCTGTGGATTTGCCCTAACCCCAGATGTTACGCCCAGTGCGGCCGGCCCCCCCTGCACCCCCCACGCTACGCCACTGAGTCCCAATCCCTGGGTAGTTTTCATGCCTGTAACCAAGCCTGAAAGATCTTGAGCTCTGCTTGTTAGCAACGAAGAGGGAAGGGTGGGGGGGAAGAGGAGCAAATTATTGACATACATACCACTTTTGCTGCTTGCCTGCCTTGAGTGAAGAGGCTCGGTGTTCCTGTAGCACCAAGTGTGATGGGACTGAAAAGCTTTTAATGAGAGTGGCGGCGGCGAGGAGGGAACACAACTGTGCAGATGTGAGGGGTGGGCAGGGGCAGGCAGAAAGGGCAGCCAATCAGGGTCATGATTATTCAGCCCATCTGTCACCAGGCTACCCCCCTCCCATTTACCCCCATGGCTACCTTAACAAAGTCCACCAGAAAACAAACATGCTCAGTTAAACCTTTTCTCCAAGAAGCTGGTCTTGTTGTTGGGGTGAAATGCTGCAGGCCTGGGAGTGACATTTCAGACTCTGTTGCAATTGTGTGTTGGTTTGGAAAGTTGGCAGCTGGGCTGTAGTGTGGGGATGATTTCAACTCACACAGAACACCCTGGGGGCATACACTGCTTCTGGGAACCTTCCTAAATACAGTGGTACCTCGGTTTACGAACTTAATTCCTTCCAGAAGTCCATTCTTAAACCAAAGCATTCTTAAACCGAGATGCGCTTTTCCTACTGAGGCTTCCCACTGCCCTTCCACCGTTCGGTTTCCATTTATTTTCCAGGACAAAGTTTGATAACTGGAAAACCTACTTCCGGTTTTGTGGAGTTCGTTCACCGAATAGTTCATTAACAGGGCTGTTCATAGACCGAGGTACCACTGTATTTCAAATGATATTAGTGCCTGACTAAAGCATACTACTACTACTACTACTACCACCACCACCACCACCAATAATAATACTATATCTCTTACTTGCAATAATGGCTTCTTAGGGTTATTTTTAGGGTCATGGTGACCTCCAAAATGCTAGTATTGTATGTCTGTGTGGTGGTGGGAGGGATTCAAGCACATAATTTTGGCTTGCTCAATTAAAGTGGATTAAATTGCTCTGCCACCCAAGCAAGGCAGATGATATATAGATTAGATAGATAAATAGATAGATGATAGATAGATAGATGATAGATGATAGATATAGATGATATAGATATAGATATAGATGTAGATGTAGATGTAGATGTAGATGTAGGTGTAGGTGTAGGTGTAGGTATAGATGATAGATATATTCTTACTTGCACAGGGTTCCTGGGAGTAATTTGAAGCCAATCAGATCCATCTTTGAGAGAAGGGTATATAACTTGTGTCATTTCACACATGAGCCTGGAACTGATATATCCTCAGAAACTAGGCATAAAAACCTCTCAGAAACTGTTTTGGCCTTCTATGGCAGCTGTGGTCATTTTTCTTATGTGGGGGGAGGGCACAAACATGACATAATAAGAAATGAAATCAGTTTGACAGCATTATTAGGAATTTTCTTTTAGTTTTAATTAAATTTAATTTGTTTGTTTTGTGACAAATATTCTGTGCTCTGTCTGGACCAAACAATTGGAAATAGCTGTCAAAGAAAGCAAAGAAGAATCTGAATTTAATTAATAGATCGATTGATTAGTTTCAAGGCATATAGCCTGCCCATGGATGATTGTACAGGCTTTCCAAGCAATTAAAAGGGAATTATATGACATTGTTGTAGTAGCTTTAAAAAAACAACCCTGCATCTTTAATAGCATGCCAAGATGTAAAAATCAAGGAAATGAAGCTTCTCTGCTTATATGGAGACTGGGGGAGGGTGGGGGAGCTTCCGTTACCAGTTTATTGCTGAACCCATCCATTGAGGGCACTTCCAGATTGTGGCCATTTTCAGGTGTGATTCAGTCAGATACCAGCTTCAGGTGTAAGTTGATTGGGAGATCTTGCAAACAGGCCGACTTCCCCAAAACATGAGACTTTTTATTAGAAGGAAAATCTTGGGAAATATGCTGATAAGTGTGGCTAACCCTTGCTTTGATGAAACGTCATCTAGCCTCCTCACAAACAAATCAGAATGGATACTCATATAGCTGTCAACTTTTCCCTTTTCTTGTGAGGAATCCTATTCGGAATAAGGGAATTTCCCTTAAAAAAAGGGAAACTTTGACAGCTATGGATACTCATTAGATACCCAACACCATCTAACCCCTGAAAACAAATCAGTGTGCACCCATTGTAGCTGATATCATATGAAATAGGATCACCAATTGATCAGGGAGAAATGGCCTGATCTTCTTTTGTACCTTTAACAGAAATTAGCAGATGAAGTTTACCACAGCATAGAGTTGAAACTTACACAACATATTTAATATGATATAAAAAGAAACCAGCAGATCATGTTCCAAATGTTACAAGCATAAATCCAGAGTAACTCAACAAATATCAATGGGGTTACGCTAGTTTACACTGGTGTAACAAAAGGCCAAGTATGGCCCCATAGATAGATAGATAGATTAAATTAAAAGCAAGTTTCATGCCTGCATTTCCATTAAAATAAATGATCCCAAGCATGCCCAACCCCAACATGGGTACCAGTGGGATATGCTGAGTTTTATCCGGAGGGATGTCCAGTGGACTGAGGTTGTTTGGTCATTAGGGACAAAATCCAGAGTCCTCTGTTTTCAAGGGATTTGGATTAAGGCTCCACCCAAGCAGTGGTTTGGAAAGAGCAGAGACTGATTAGATAAGATGATAGATAGATTAGATAGATAGATAGATAGATGATAGATAGATAGATAGATGATAGATAGGTAGATGATAGATAGATGATAGATAGATAGATAGATAGATGATAGATAGATAGATAGATAGATAGATTGATAGATAGATAGATGATAGATAGATAGATAGATAGATAGATAGATAGATAGATAGATAGATGATAGATAGATAGATAGATGATAGATAGATGATAGATAGATAGATGATAGATGATAGATGATAGATGATAGATAGATAGATAGATGATAGATGATAGATGATAGATAGATAGATAGATAGATGATAGATAGATAGATAGATAGATAGATGATAGATAGATAGATAGATGATAGATTAGATAGATAGATAGATAGATAGATAGATATAGATAGAGATAGTAGATAGATAGATAGATAGATAGATAGATAGATAGATAGATGATAGATAGATAGATGATAGATAGATAGATGATAGATAGATAGATAGATAGATAGATAGATAGATAGATAGATAGATAATAGATAGATAGATAGATAGATGATAGATAGATAGATAGATAGATAGATAGATAGATAGATAGATAGAGATAGATGATAGAAAGAAAGAAAAGGGTAGGTTGTGTATATTGCTGATTGCAGAGCTTCATTTACATTTAGCATGGTTGACTTCATACTGGTTTGTGAAGTAACAGAAGTGATAAAGGGGCTACAGGAAAAATCACGACAGGAGATATTTCTCAATGTTCAAGTCTTTCAGTCTGAATTGTAAGAGAGGATCAGGAAGGCAGTGAAAGAATCTGGAGTTGTTTGATGGTTGAAGGTGAAACACCTTAGGGTGCAGGGCCTTCTCTAGAAGTCTCTATTTCTGTTGTGCTCTGCTTACATATTTATACTTCAATTATTATAAAGACACTATGTCTCCAGTGCTCTCTCATCCAAAGAAAGCTAGACCCCGTGTCATTGCCTTTCAGCTTAGGTAAGTGGGAAGCACATAACAAAATCTTCAAATCCAATGTGAAAGGAGAAGAGAACATGAGAATGGCCAGTGAACTAAATCATCAGCTTTTCTGAGTCACCGGAGAGTCATTAGCACTCTTGGAACTGAGGTTGAAATATGAAAATGTACTAAAGAATCTCAACTGGAGAAGTTATGCACGGGTCCAAAGCCTAATTTTCTTTCAAGAAACCCCCACTGAGTTTCATTTCACTAAGCTGTAAAAAGACTTGATTGGCTATAAAGAAGGATTTAGAGAGCGTGCAGAGTGGAACCTGGCTCTTGGGGCAGAGCAAATCATGAGGATCAAAAGGGGCCTTAGTCATGGAAGTGAGTTGAGCAAACATAGCTCAGTCGGTGTCAAGTGATTAGGAGAAGAGAACTGCTCCATGTTTTGGAAGTGACTCACATAGGTCATCAGAATAGGAAAGTCTTGCGCCCTGTTTATCCACTGGGGTCCCCTTCTGATGTAATGTTTATGTTCACCAATTGACATTTTAAAATGATTACGCAAGCACCTCTGCATGGGAATGTTACCTGGGGACTGTGACATTTCTTGAATGGATCTCTGAACAGAATCCTAGGGTTTTCAAGTAAAGTTGTGTTTGTGGACACAGCCCTGGACAAAGTCACATAGGTGTCTAATCCTCATGTAATGTTTCCAGGGGTGCTGACATTGAGGGGGCCTGGAGTCACATGATGCATCCCACCCCCACCTAGCGTGCCAGTGCTCTCCCAGCAGCAGGGGCATATGGGAAGCACAGAGGGTGATCTTCCCCCTCTGCCTGTGCTGCCCCTGCCCAGCACGCCAGCACTCTCCCATCATCAGCGAGGGATGGTGGCCCCCTCAATGTTGTGGGACTTGGCCGCCTGCGCACAAATATTGAGGGGACCAAAGGCCCTTCCACCACCTATAGTTGGTGCCCCTGAATGTTTCCATGTGGCAGAGGTTTTCAATGTTATTGAGTCCATGGCTCCCTTGACCAAATGCATTCTTTATGTGGCACCCCTATGGAGCTCAGGAGCCCAGTTATGTCACCCCTTGCCTGCAGAGCTGGCAACCTTTCACCCTTTTTTGAACACCCTCCCTTGTTCCCTCAGCCTCCTCTTCCCTCTCCTTGGGAGTCCTCTGGGCAGCCACTGCTGCCCCCGGCCCCAAAGAGAGGTGCCTCCCAGAGGCACCATTTGCCTGGGGAGCTTATAGACTGGGCTACTGCAATAAACAGCTGTGCAAGCCTTTGGTAGGCAGAGATGAGAGAGGGCATCAGAGGAGGGAGGGGAAGAAAGAGGGACAGAGGCTAGTGTTGCCCGTTGCACCCTTGACCATCATTCTAGGCACCCCAGTGTGCACACTGGTTGAAAACCACTGTCATATGGGAAGTGCTTGCAAAATCACATTTAAAAGCCGATCTTTGAACTCAGGAGGCTATTAAGCGAGAAGCTGCCCTAGGCTGCAGGAGTATAAAGAGGATGACACCTAACTTTTCACCTTATTGGTAGGGTCTGGTGAATGGAATATTGCATAGGGGCAGCTTAAATTTAAATCCTTGTGTTGCCCCTATTTCTCAGTCTGTTATTACTCCAGAAAGTAGGGTGGGTAACAGGCTTTGGCTACAGCTTGTGATTAGTGAGGAGAGCGCTTAGCCATGAGTCCCAGTTCAGATGACAAGCAAAGATAAAGAGACGGCAGCACAGCAGAAAAAAAGGACTGGGGACGCCATACTTTTTCCACAGAATTCCTCCCGACAACAATGAGATGGTATTGTCCTGTCACTCCCAGCGGGGGCTTGATCTATGTGCATTCATGACACATAGTGGCAAGATGCCCAGAATGCAAGCCACTCAGGCTTTGACAACTTGATACCCTGTTTTTAGAAGTTTTTAAGGAGACCTGGGGAGAGTAATGGAGGCAGCACGCAACCCTCAAATCATCTCACAAGTACTTCTCTTTTTTTTAACTGTGTGTTTTCAGGTCAATTTTTTTCTTACAGGTTTCCAATTAAAAATCTACCCAGAAATGGAATGGGATGGACTTTATCCCCTCTGGAACTAGGACAGACTGGGCTTTAATGGGTCTGTCTGTCCCTACACACAAGCAAGGTATTAGCTATTTCAGGCTAGTATGACTGGTTTGGCCCCACTGGGCACCACACTGTAGGGGGCACCACAATAATGCTGTATAACAAAGTGAAAGGGGTGTGAGCACCAAATTTTAGCATCTCACAGGGTGCCGCTGGAATTTGAGAGCCTAAGGTTCACCACTGGTACACTGCTGCACCCCCCCCCACACACACAAAATGGAGGGGTATCTACTCATCTATATGGGACTCTATTAATATTTGTTGGTTGTTTCTAACATAACAACATATGTTTATTGTTCCTAGTCCAAGAGAATAGTCCATGCCAGCTCAGTTCCACATTCCCACAGCTTCTCTCAATTGTTTTTTGGCATGCCGTTGCTCCTCCTCTTTGAGTAATTTTACTGAAAGGGAAAGCAACATTATGCTTGAGAGCTTCAAGGGGACATTGCCTGAAGGATGGGGAGGCACAATTTCCTTTGTGACATCTGTCCTGTATAGACATTGCAAAGGGAAATTGTGTGAAAGTTAGTGAGGCAACAGAGCATTCTGATAAGCAGCCTCTTATGCAAAAAGACTCCCACATACAAACACATACACATGGCCCAGAAGGCATGGCCATATCCTTCAAATCATCATGGCAATGGGATTGTCCTTTCTAGGTACACCGTTCTATCCTTTGGCAATTTCTCTCTAGTACTGCACTTGTGTCACAGTAGCGAACTGAAGTGGAATTATACTGTGGGGAAGAGAATGAGTAATTAATCAAGCAATTATTCTCATTTTAAAATGGTGCTGTTAAAGTACCATCATCCGAATCTCGGTGATCACATTATGTTCGGCAACTCAGGTAACATACTGACAGTATGTTGCTACCATCACCCGTATCATCCCATAAGAGCATAAAGGGGGGAATATCTGTTCTTTGTTACTTTTCATTGTACCCACAATGCACTTCACATGGCTCCACAGAATACAAAGCTATGCACTTTTATCTATTGATTAGCACATGCCACAGTATGGTGTTCCTATTACCATGGTATTTATGAATAAATTTGAATATCCCTTTCCTTTTGATCCAGCATCCTTATTAGACAAATGGCACTTTGAAATTTTACCTATTTAAATGAAATTGCTTCCTCTTCTTCTTCTTTTTGGTCTCGATAATAATAACAAATCCAACTTCTTTTATAAGCTTGATGTTGTTGGCTAGGGGTGGGTGGGTGCAAATAACTCAATCTGAAGTGTTAGACAGCAAGAGTACAACACAAATGCTGCATCTGGGTATGTTCTCTTCTCTAATTTTGAGACAAATTAAGGAGTTGGTATTTAAGAAGACAGTATTACTGTGACTTCTAGCACTTCTGTGGATAATACACATATCAAAGAGGAATCTGTGGAACTCTCCTAGGAGACTCCGTAAGATGCTGTGTAAAACAAGACCTGCAGAGTTTCCTGCAACAGAAGGAGGAGGAGGCAGCAGAATGGAGCAGTAAAGAGAAGGCACTGGGGCAGCAAGGTCAGGGTAGGGATGATAACATATATTCCCCATGTCTAACATAGACTGAAATCAAGTCACTGTGCAAAGCCAAAGTCCCAGAGGAGTGGCGATTGCTGCGTGGCTTAGAACACGACAGATTGCAAGAGTCGGAAGCACATCATCAGGTCCAAGGGGATCGGTGGCTTCAGATGGTTGCCATCCAGGCGCAGATAGCGAAGACGGGGCACGTTTTCAAAATCTGAGGACGGATCATGGAAAGCGACCATAGAATTGGGGCAAATCTGGGTCCCGTTGATTTCTAAACAGAGAAAAGAAAGCACAGCAGTAAGTTAGGAGAGCCAAGATAATTGATTCTGCACTTCTCTTTTCACCCTCTGGTCTTCCACCAATCGTCAATTCAAAATCCAAGGTTATGCAGTGGTCCCTTTTGGCTTTAAGACCTATGTTTCCATTCATCATTGTGAAATATCTGGATAAATCCTCCTTGTCTGCTTTGAACAAGGGCTTTCCCAGTTCATTCCTCAAGTCCCATATCACCCTCCCCCCATTTCATAGGCCTGTATAATCTAGTTTATAAATGATACAGACATCTTTCAAAAGAGGTTGGCAACAATGCTGCTGTGTGTACCCACACCACAAAAGCGAACATAGCTTTAAATGCACATAGAGGGACGCGGGTGGCGCTGTGGGTAAATCCTCAGCGCCTAGGGCTTGCCGATCGCATGGTCGGTGGTTCGAATCCCTGCGGCGGAGTGAGCTCCCGTCATTCGGTCCCAGCTCCTGCCCACCTAGCAGTTCGAAAGCACCCCTAAAGTGCAAGTAGATAAATAGGTACCGCTTTCTAGCGGGAAGGTAAATGGCGTTTCCGTGTGCTGTGCTGGTGCTGGCTCGCCAGAGCAGCTTTGTCATGTTGGCCACGTGACCCGGAAGTGTCTCCGGACAGCGCTGGCCCCTGGCCTCTTAAGTGAGATGGGCGCACAACCCTAGAGTCGGACACCACTGGCCCGTACGGGCAGGGGTACCTTTACCTTTATAACATGTTAGAAAAGGGTGAATGTCACATTCCAAGGCTGCTTAGAAAAGGGATTAATGTAACACAGCTTGGTGTTTAGCATATTGGATATCCATGTCATCCCTGTACTATTCAGACAATATTGCAATCTGTACATTCCAATCTTAAAGCAGATCCGATGTAAAGATGTAACTAAATGCTTGGTACGGATATGTGACTTCATTCATGTATAACTATTGATTGCTAAAGTGATGGGATGCATTTAGGTAAGCAATACAAGTTTTGCTCGTTGTGAACCACACGGAGAAAACTGAGAAACTTGCACTCAGTTTCCCATATGGAAGACAAATTGGCCACTGGGTCTCTCTGCAGGTTAAGCCTTGGAATCAGTCTGCATTTGTCATTGAGCAGCTCTGATTCTGCGCAAAAAGGGGGGGTTGGAGAGAGAGAAGGAAGAGGCTTAGGAAGACCCGGAACTCTGCTCTGAGACCCCCACTGCCCTCCTTTGCACCTCTGCCATCTGAGTCCTACCATACCAACAACACAGACATGTATTTGCATACCCTTCAGGTTAGTTTTGGTAAGAGACATTCAGTGCCACTGAGATGGTGATGATAAGCAGCAGCAGCATTATATCAACAGAACAGTGTTGTTCCACTTCTAGGTTCCAAAGACCTGCTCAAACATAACACTAGATGGCTTCAGGCTAATGAAGACTCACATCCGTATTATTATTGTAAAATGAAACTATTCAAATGGCTCCCTCGCTGGGGATGTTATGAAGATAAAATAAACAAGTTACTGGGCCTTTGCTGATTGTGATTTATAAATACTGGCTAACATTATTTAAAGGGGAAAAACAGTTGTTGTTTTCTAAAAAAAAACCTAACCAACAAAGTAGGCCATTATTTAAGCAGGAAAACATCCAACCTCTTCCTTTGATCTATTCTTCAAAGAACCTTAAGTATTCTGTATTCAGGGATCACTAACCTATGCTTCTCCAAATGTTCCCAGACTCCATCAGCCTCAGCCAGTGTGGCAATCAAGACTACTGGAAATGGTAATTTTAGCAATATCTGGAGGCCCAATGTGTTGCCATATCTGCTGTAAATGCTAGTGCTCAGAGGGCTATACGGAAGGCTGGTTATCAAGTAGCCAACTACTACACCGTTTCTAAAAAGGCTCAGTTTTTAGGTGTTAATTTATCTGTTGCTTAGCAGACATTTACTCATATTTAGGTTACAATATCATTCATCCCTAGCCCTGATTGGCTCTGCCCCCACCCTCCTTATATCACTTCCCTGAAGTCTGATCAGTTATCCAAAGGCACACATCACTAGTGAAAGTACTGAGTAAGAGTAAAGTCTAATACTCTTTTGTACCATGTTTAGGCAAAGCCAACCTGGAGTAGTAGTAGTGGTGGTTGGTAAAATTATGTTTACATAGGCTTCTTTCCTCCTCTGTGTCAATGGCATGGGATTTAGATATCAACAAACCACCTTTGACTCTACTTGGGGATTTCAACAAGCCTGTTAGACAAAGGGTTGTTAGCATTGCAAGTATCAGACTCATGGTGTGTGTGTGTGTGTGTGTGTGTGTGAGAGAGAGAGAGAGAGAGAGAGAGAGAGAGGAGAGAGAGAGAAAGGGGTCCAATTCTCATTAGGACTATGGCAGAGACCAATGAAGCCACGGTCCCCATCCAACTCCCACCCTGAGCCAGCTTTTTCTTTTCTTTTCGTAAGCTATGCAACGTGAACAATATGGCAAACCTTGCGTCAGATTTGGAACTTGTTCATAGCACAACAAAGCCTTCATTTGATCAATTGCTTTCCTGTGCTTATGCTTCTGAAAGCCAGATACCTGGGCTTTAAAAATATATAACAGAAGCAAGCTGATATATTTCCACCTTCCTAGAGAAGCCAGGGTAGAGGTGGCAGCTATTATTAAGAGAGAGAGAGAGGAAAAAAACCTTTTTAAGGGAACCAGCTGAGGATGTAAGGCAAAGAGGTTGGTAAAAAGCCATGCTTGGCTCCAAGGCATTGCACATTATAAGCACTGCAATTATGATTAACAGCAATCTTAATTATAAGAGTTCATGAATCAGAATTTGCTTCCTGTTGCTAAATCATGAACCATATGTGCACTTGAATCTCAGTGCAAACAGTTTATATTTTATGCCATGGCACCAGCTAAGGATTATATCCATGCCATTTCTTCTTTTATTGTTTCAGTTATCTTGAGAATATCAGGGGGCAGGGTAGGATGGGGTCACCAACTTGGTGCCCATGGTCACCAGTGTGCCCACCAGTACCTCCTATGGTGTCTGCAAAAGGCCTTTGTACCTAACCCATTAAAAAAACTCACAACATAAGAGAGATGTTGGCTCTTCCTAATCAATTCCTGTCTGCACTGGCTTAGCCTCTCTTACATTGCCAATTAAACATGCCAACATTTCATTATCTTTCATGCTTGGACACCCACCTTCCTATCCAATTTGAGCAGAGGAGAGGTGCAAAGTGCTTCTTTTTTCTGCTCTTTGAGGAGTGGCAGCCATTTTTTGTTATGCCACATCCTGACGGCAGCCATTTTGTGACTGGCATCCATGGCCCTTCCTTAAAGTTCAAAATGTACCCACTGAGTGGTAGTCAATAACATTTTAGTCACAGTAGACTCGTTTAAACCCATTTCTGTGGTTCTACTCTGAGTAAACTTAGTTGAACACCACCTACACAGTCCCCCAAAGGTTGATGCTCCTTATATTATATTTCCCCTCATGTAGCAACCTAGGCAGAGCAAAGGGCAAGGGTGGTGATGTCTTTTGCTGGAGTGCATCTCTAACTGAAAGTAACTAATGAAGTAATTAGTACCCTCAAACTGAAGCACTAATGAGACCCCATTACCATTTAGTAAAATATCTGCACCCACAAGTATCACATCCCTGCTGTGCAAAAGTGCTTTTATCCTTACTGCACAGATGGAAAAACTGATGCTGTGAAACACATGCTTATCTGTTCAAAAGAAATTTTAAAACCCTTTAGGTCTTAATCCTGAGAAAACTCCCCAAGGGGTTAAGAAGTTTGGGAGTGCCTCCTGAAATGGGGCAAGTCCCGTTGCATTTTCTGGGTTATATCCAAGCTAAGTGTCAACTTGAATGCTGTGGGGTTAAGAAGAAGAAGCCCCAAATAAATCTGAGCTCCACATTTCCCTGCTTCTGAAAGTGGGTCTCTAGCCTTTGTACTTGCTAATAAAAGATGTAAAGTGTGACCTTAGGATAACCTTAGACTAGAGACTCCAAGGCGTGTGAACCTAAGTTATGAATTTAAAACAAAAACTTGTAATTTTAACACAAGAATCATTAGTCTTAGATCCTGCCTGTGTTCTGTTGAGCACGGGAGTCATAAATGTTGCATCAATGAGCTAGCCTGGTTCAAATGAAATGCTTTTGCCTTGAGCTGCCAGATGTGAATAAAGTTACTCAGAATTTAACTACATTTTCTCTCTTTGGAGCCCATTGTATAAGTTGGCTTCATTGGCCTAACCCACTGCTCTTCCAGAGTGCCAAAAGTTTAAAGCAAAGTGAGGGGGGGGGATAGCACTTGGGCTGGTTGTTTCATGGCTTATTGTTTCCTTTGCTTGCTAAGAATTTCTGGAAAGGATTCTGCATTCCTGCTCTCCTGCAGATGTTTTCAATCAAGGCAGCAGGTGGTGGGAGCTCCAGCAGCACAAACATCTGGGGGCAGTGAGGGCTTTGTTATTCCCATGACTGTGCTTGCGCACTCTGTGGGATGACACCTGTCCTATGAACTGACATGGGCTTTGCCCAAAAGTGTATGGCCCAAAAGCATTGGCTAGATTTTCTGCCTCAGATGAAAGGTATGGGCACTATATATCTTGACTTGGGCACCATTTGCTGCTTCACCTCAGGAAGCAAAATGTCTTGGACTGGCCTTGATGGCCATTCTTAGGTGGCTTGGTTCTGCCACATGTTCTCCTGTAGACCTAGCGAACTGCAGGTCTCTGCTGACTCACTTTCAATGGAATTGTTATTCAAGTAGAGGTGCTCCAGCCTGGAGTTGATGTAGGGGATGTTGGTGAGGTTGTTGTATGCCAAGTGCAACACCAGCAAGTTAGTGAGGTTGAAGGAATTCTTGGGCAGTCCTTTGTCGGAGAGCTTATTGTAGTTAAGCCTAATAAAAGCCAAGTTAGGGAAATCTTTGAAGTAGTTGTTGGGGATATCTTCGATTTGATTCTCGTCTAGGAAGAGCTGGTGGATTGCATTGGGAACCGAAGGTGGCATCTTGTGTAGCCTGTTGTGAGCTAAGTTGAGCTGCATGAGGTTCTTGAGCCCCTTGAAAGTATTTTTGTTGAAGTTTCCATCATTCAGCTCATTGTGATGAAGGTCTAAGAGGATGAGGTGATTCAGGTTGTTGAATACACCACCAGGGATCTTAGAGATCCGGTTCCTGCTCAGCCGAAGTTGTTCCAGATTGGGAGGCAAATTGTTGGGTACTTCCCTAAGATGATTCTTCTCCATGTACAGGAACATAAGGCTTTCTAACCTATCCAGCACCTTCTTGTTCACCTTCGCGATGCGGTTGTTATCCAGATTAATCCACCTCAGCTCTGTGGCATTCTTGAAGGACTCCTCAGGAAGCTCATCAATGAAGTTATTCTGCAGGTAGATATAATGGGCCCTGGGTGGGAAAATGGGCACTTTTCTCAGGTTGCGGCTATCACAGTAAATGGCTGAAGGGAAATCTGGAGGGCAGAAACATTCTCTAGGGCAGTCTGGGAAAACTGAGGGAGGTCCAGGTGGCAGAGGCGGAGGCAATTCTGTAGGTTCAACTGGTTCAAAGGGTGGAGGAGTAGCACGCTTTCTTCCAGGCTTGCGCCTCTGTCCATTCACCTCACAAATCAGCACAAGAATGAGTGGGAAAATCAGTCTGGCAAGCCCCTTCATGGTCTAGACAGTCACCTGTTAGAAGACAAGAAGAAACCATCGAAAATAGGACCATGACACATACATATTGGACATTAACTTAGTGTTGCTATCCTTTTCTCCAGCAACTTTTTATGGTCAGGCAGAGCAATCCTGCAGTGGCATAGCTAGCTGCTAAGGTGCCCGGAGCAGGGGTGCGCACCCTAGGGGCGGGGTGCGATGGGGCAGGACGCACCACAGAGCCTCCAAGGAGTCCGCCTGCTGCCTCCCCTTCAGCTGTAGGGTGGGCAGGTGCAAGCCCCATACTGCTGTTTCAGTCAGTGTGGAGCCTGCAGGCACCTGAGCCACCACATCACACCCAGGAGGGATTCATGACTTGAGCACACTGGAGGCCCCATGGTAAGCGCCACCTCCCACAATGTGGCACCCAGTGCACAATGCCCCCCCCAACTACGCCTCTGCAACCCTGTATACCAGGGGGTAGAGAACCTTCTTCAGCTCAAAAGCCACATTCTCTTCTGGCCCACCTTCTGGGGGCCATGTGCCAGTGGCATCCATGGCCAGAGGCAAAAGTGGGCAAAGCAATGCATGTAACTCTTATATTTGTGTTGGAGGCTGGTTTCCACACACACTCATACACCCTGCTCTGTCCTCCAGCCAGGCAATGAAGAGGCATTAACAGGGTTCAAGTGCACATTCCAGCCAGGGACAAAGACTTAAGAAGGGTATGACTGGTAAGGAGTTGGCTGTTAGTGGTAAAGAAAAAGGCCCAGGGTCATCACTAAATGAGTTCTGCTCAGAGTAGACCTAGTGAATTAGTGGACCTATCTATATTCCACCTTTTAGGACAAGGTCCTGGCAAACTGGCTTTCAAAAATTAGTATTACAGTACAGCAGTACAATAAATGCACATCAGTTATAAACTGACTCAGCCAGAACAGCCTTAAAAACTTTTTTTTTTAGGTCTTAAAGATTTTAAAACAGAGGATTGGTGGTTCATGCCCACTCCAGGGATGGCTGTGGGCAGGATACCTGCATTGTAGGGGGTTGGACTAAATGACCCTTATTGTACCTCCCAACTCTGCAATTCTATGATCCTATGATAATTAAACTCTGAATAAAACTAGGATTGGATACAACCCCAGGCTTTGAGCTCAGGTACTTTTTGCTAGAGCTTATACCAAATTTAGCAAAATTTCAAAATCTGCTTAATTTTCAAATTTCAACAATGATATTTTGATGTTGAAATTTGTTATTTGTTGCATTAATTTGTTTTGATTAATTTAATTTTAATTAATAAACTAATTAACTAAAATGTGTTGTCGCAACTAAAATGTGTTGTTGCAAATTAACTATCAAAATTACTTCCAAATGCTAATTGCTACTGCATGTCTGTTGACAGCTATTGACAGCTGCTGACAGCTACATGTCAGATGCTTTCTGCTACTGCATGTAAGATGCTATCAAATGCGAATGAAAGCCATCAGATCAGATCAGTGGCTGTTAAAATAAAGGCTCAAGATCGGAACTGTCGTATTTGGACTAACTAAAAGTATTGGAGCAGGACAAAATAAGAACATAATTCCCTGAAATCCAGAACATGGGAAGTCATTCAAAATTGTTTAATTTGGTCTTGGATAATTGGCTTTTTAAATCATATTATAATTTGGTGTTGTGTTAATGTGGCTTTTATTGGATTGTTATAAATGAAAACTAATACAAATTATTAATAAAAAAGATCCTATCAAATGCTGATCACATCAGCCAACAGAGAACTGTCAAACTTTGCAAATACTTGTACATCAAATGCCGATGCCTAAGATATTCAGTAAATGTTTGGAGAACATGCATACAGCCAATAAACAAACAAGGGATATTTGCCACCAAAATTAGAAGAAGAGAATGCTAAGGTGTGGTGTTCTTTTGCTCCATTTTCTGGTTCCTTGACTCATACTTTAAGGAATTAGATGTACTGCTTTATGGTGGTAGTCAACTAAGTTGCACTCAGAGCAGACCTAGTGAAACCTGTAGTCCTAAACACAGTCATGTTCATTAAGTTAAATCGGTCAACTTAGTTGAATACTACACTCAGTATCTTCAATTTTCATAGCTTTCTTTTTCACAACTGTGGATTTGTGAAAGAGATAAATGTGATCCCCATCTTGCAGCCTGGCAACCTAGCCTTGGATCAGTGCCCCTCGTGCCATCAGCACAGCTGGCTTCCAGCCTTGAGTACAGGAGGGTTCCCTGGAAAAGGGAGAGCACCTGCCTTTTCCAAGGGCATCGGCTAAGCTCATGAATACGTATTGCAGTGCATATACTTGGTTTTTGGTTCTTCATAAATCATGTGCTTACAGCTTGCCATCTCATCTCCTTTTTACGATACCAAAAGGAAGTAATTTGCACAACAAACCCTGCAGTTGAAAATTGTTTAGGCCTGTTGTCTTATTTATATATCTCTTTTAATGAATTCTATAGATGGACAGCCAATGCTGCAAAACATACAAAGTTCTCCATTGTATCTTTTCCTCCCAATCCCACAGCACTCTTTACCTTTTAAAAATGGCTGTTTTATTGATGATGGTAATGATTACACTCGGACAGCTTTTTAAGTATATGTTTTAGAAAAACTGAGGAGCACCTGCTAGCCAGTTCCATTTTCAGAATACCTCATTTCTTTTTTCAGCACCATCCTTTCAATTGTGTGTGTATCCTTCATCTTGAAAACAAAGAGCACATCTACCTTGTTTGCAAGCATAAGCATCGCTAACCTCTGCAGCAAGGCTGCCCTTCGCTTCATTGCATGGAAGCTGGGACACCAAACAGCCACTGCTCGAGTAGGTCTAGCATAAATATCTCAGTGAAGAATAGCATCCTCTTCTTAAACAACCATCTGGAAAGGCCCTTCTTCTCAAGAGTGTCAGAGGAATAAGAGGGCTTCTCATGGTCACAGCTGTGAAAGAAATGTGAGCAAATTGTAGCCTGTACAACAATGTCCTTGAAAGCTGTAAAGAACCTGTAGGTGTAATAGCAGCTGAGAAAGGTGCAGAGAACTGCTGTCTTCTTACTGAAAAGCTAATGTCTACCATCTCTTCATTTTTCATGTGAGGAAGGGAAACAAGAATCATGCACCTATACCTATGTATTTGGAGAGTGGCTCCTTCAATTTTTTTTTTTTAATTGCTTGCAGCATTTGATGGGAGGCATTTTATCTTCCCATCCTGCCCTGTCTGAATCCTGTGCAAAATAACACAACAGCTTTTGATCCACCCAAATGTGCATCTTGCACAAAGCTAATTGTTTGCATGGGAAAGCTGAACTAGAGAAAAAAGGGTGCCAACATACACAGTGATTCTTTTTATTATTCTCATGATGACTTCTTCATGTTCTCTGCTTGTGATATAAGTATTTGGGGATCTATCTAATTCTGGGTCCAAATTATTTTGTGTGGTAGCACTGAAGATTGGAATTCAATTGCACATCCACCACCATCCTACTTTTATTAGTGTATCCTTTAAATTTTTAAGGGCTTATTCATGCTTAATTGTGTTGCTTAATCTCTGCTGGGCTGTGTCTCAAATGGTAATTGTGATTTATTTTATTTTCCATATTGTATCCTAGCCATATTTAGCTGTGCCACCCAGAGAACATAGGATGTCATCAATAAAAAGAAAATAATACTCAAATTATGGAATTAAGTTTTCCCATGCTTTCCGTCACTCCATCCATCAGGCTTCCTAAGGACTTGGTTCTCATTAGGCATCAAAGTAAGTGGCAGATTTTTCAGCATACCAAACACAGCTTCAATTATGGCCAGATTTTTAAAAGAATGTGACACACACAGAGAAGGGAGAAGTGCTTTGGACATCTGGTCTTTAAAACCCCGAAGCACAAGGCAGTTGGATCCAAACAGGCACAGTGGTTGTCATCATTAAAGCCATGCAAGGGAAATGGCTGGGTCCAAGTGATTTTGCAACCGTCAACTTATTAAATCCTTAGCAAGGCAGGAGCAACGCTGCCGAGGTTCCAAGGTTGCAAATACACCAACACAATGTATCTGGCAAATGTGAATGCAAATTGTCAGAACATATGGAGAGGAAAGGGAAAGTTGCTTAGCTGGGTTGTGATGAGGTGGGCGAGGTTACTTTCTTCGTTTCCTGGCATCCTCCTACTGAGTGTGGAAAAATCCTGACAGCTTTGAACCACAGTGTTCCACTTCAGCACAAATGGATATTTTAACAGCACTGCCACCAAGCGCCTGCACTGAAATCTGCACCACACTTTTTCTCTCAGTTGTAAAAATGCACAAGCAGGGCCTAATTAACTTAGGAGCCTCAAATGGTGCCAAGGGGCACTGGAGCCATTAGAAGTTCTGCCAAAATGGTTTATTGCAGCTTTGGAACACGTTCAATGGAAATATCGCCTTAGTGATCTATGCTTAATATGGAAGCTGACTCACAAGACAATGAATCAGTACCAAATAGTCTTAAGGGTGCTGTCAGGCTCTCAACTACAGCAACCAGCAAAACAGGAGCAAGCTTCTCCCTTGGGCAGAAAAGAAATGGTTTCAGGCCCATACTCTGTCACAAACTTCCTTTGCAACCATAGATAAGTCATTGTGCTTGTTTTGGAAACTTTTCCAGAGTCCCTTTGCAGAATCGTATTGAAACTTGGTCCAGGGGACCCGTGGCCCTCCAGTTGTTGACTTTTGAAAACAAATCCAATCACAAGATTTAAAGTTAAGGGACCATGTTGCATTTTGCAGCTCCTTCTGCTTATTTCACCTAACAGAGCAGCTCCTAATTGTGGTCTATTAGAATGTATTCTGCAATTGGTCACGCTGGAAACACTGAGTCAAGCTGGTGTAACTCTAGGAACTGAATTATCTCCATTAAAATGCACAGGTAGCTCTCTCTCTCTCTCTCTCTCTCTCTCTCTCTCTCTCTCTCTCTATCTCTCTCTGCCCTCACGCAGCTCTTTTGGATCAACTGACAAATCCCAAACCAGGGCCAGACTCTGGTAATATGGTGCCCTGA